CACAAATGTTGGGAATGTCAAGAGTGGCAGAATAGAGAGGGAGGAAAAAAGAAAAAGAAATTTTAAAAGAAGAAACAGAGACTGTTTTGGTTGGAGATCAGTATCTTTCCTGATTCCCTTCTCATTCAGTAGGTGGGATTGTGAAGGTTGGGAAGGAGGTTCCCACCTCAGGGTGGGAAGGTTGGTCTTAGAAGTTCAGGGCACCTGGAAGTTGGGTATGGTACCATCTGTCCCCAGTGGGAGACTGTACCCCAAGGATCTCCTCTGTGATGTGGGTGCCTGGTCTTATCTCCTTATATCACCTGTAGATCTGTCAGTTCCTGGTCTCTAAATTTAGTCTCTAAACTGTATCTTGCTCACCCTCTCCCTTTCTACTTCCTATTTGGGGATCTTTCTCTTAGCAGGGCTTATGGGTTGCGCTCTGTTTTTATACCTGTCTTAGAAGGCTGTTTTGTATTGGGCAGTCGTTGTGCTGGGGCGAGGGGTAGTTGGGGACTATCAGTACCTGCCCAGCCGGTGTTCTAAGCTGAGAGTTGCCCTAACTAAAGATGGCAATGAAGGTGTCCCAAGATGAAAGCAGATTCTTTGTATGATGGACTGTGGAGTTGGGGTTGGGAGGGCTGGTAGGTATCATTCAGCGATGTGTGCCATGAAGCTTTGTGTGGTTGTGTGGCTGTGGTCTCAATTTTAGAGATATTTTTCTTAATTCATGAATGTGTCATCACTTCTTCCCATTTATGGCAATTGTATGATCATCTTCTTTTTTTTTTAAGTTAATTTTATATATTTTTGTGCTGGGGATAGAGCCTGGGGCCTCATGCATGCTAGGCAAGTACTCAGTCTATATCCCTAGTCCATTTGTACCTGTTTGCAGTCTCATGATGATGTAGGTGTGTATTTATTCCATTGTTCTGGACACCTGGTGAACATTTCAGACTGAAACATACGTTAGAGGTTTAGATAAATGTATTGTATTTTGCTGATTATTTTTTCCATTTTATGGTTTTCTCTCCAAACTTGTAATAACTTAGCTGATGGATATTCTGAATCAGTTCTCTACTTTTTTTTACTGCATATTTCCTGCTTTTTCTTGTCTTTGTGCTTTTATTTTACTTTCTGCAAGATTTTTCTCAATGTTATCTTTTAACCTTTGTATTGTGCAATTCTTTTCTGCTCATATTTTAATGTCTGTGACTTATATTTAGAAGAATCTTTTTGTAAATTTCATTTTTATTTTGTGAATGCAGTGTTTTATTATACCAAGGATGTTAAACTTTTCCAAACTTTAATTTCCTTTTGGTCTTGCTTTCTTTCAAGATGCTATTTTCTAATTGTTTTGTCTTATATTTTTCATATTAGATAWTTTAATCATATTGTTTCATTCTTAGTTGCTCATTTCTATTTATTTATTAATACTTTTTAGTTGTATTTGGACACAGTACCTTTATTTTATTTATTTATTTTTATGTGGTGCTAACGATTGAACCCAGTGCCTCACATGTGCCAGGCAAGCACTCTACTGCTGAGCTACATCTCCAGCCCTCGTTTCTATTTATTTACTTACTTGCCATCAAGAAAAATTTGAAGCAGTATAATGCATCTTTAAACATCTTCCAAGTTCAAGATCTATCAACAGGTTGTATAAATTTAGGAGTGGGTATTGAAAAGCTCAGTGGAGGGGGTGAGTTTCTGTCAGAAGCTTGAAAATGTGGGGTTTCTTTTAGATTGATCTGTATTACATTTTGTGGGAAAGCAAGCCATGTTAATATTTTGATATCTTTTCTCAGTGAAAGATCCCCCAATCTTCTGCCTATTACAGTGTAATCTAATCTTCTTGTTTTATATCATCCCCAGCTCTTGATTACATGGAATTTTGTTGTCTTGAGAGTATCTTTTTTACTTTTAGCAGAAAACAGTTTTATGCTAGTTCAAGAGAAGAGCCAGTTGTTTATCTTCTTGTTTATGTGAGATCTTGTTATTAAATTGCTTTTTAAAACACCTTCTAGAAGTTTTCTTATTATTAATACTTCTTCACTCATAGTCCCCCAAACACACATATATGCACAGACATAAATAGATTTTTTCAAAATAATTGGCACTACCAGTTCCTGAGTCTTTTGGAAGATCAGTAATGTAAATCAGGCTGCTTCTTACCTTTGTTTTGTGAGGGTTTTGTTTTTTTTTTAAGTCTTTAATTTGAGCCTTGGTTGCTTAGTTGTCTGAGTCAGTTACCACTTGTCTTTCTTTCCAGCATCCATATTAAATTACTTTTACTTTTCTAATTCTTTCTTTTTTTCTTATGGTTTTAAGTCCTTAAAAAAAAAAAAAAGTCTATATCTTTTTTAGTGTGTTTTAGGAGAGAACAGTAGTAAATGCTTGTCCTGAATCTGTCAGCTTTTTCCAGATAACTAGCATAGTGATTTTTCTGAGTTGTTTGGTGTAGTTAGAACATGATATACAGAACTTGTATATTGGATCAAGAAGGCTAAAATAATATCTTTTGAAGTTCAGAGGAAGGGTTGTTATGATTTCTTACTTTCTATCTTTTGTACTGAAGATTGGATCCTGAGGCATTGAGCCACATCTTCAGTGCTGCCTCGCCCCCTCCCCCTCCTCCTCCTTTAAAATTTTATGTAGAGAGAGGGTCTCCCTGAGTTGCTCAGGACCTTACTAACTTTTTGAGGCTGGCTCTTAACTTGCAATCTTCCTGCCTTAACCTCCTGAGCCACTGGGGTGATTATTTTTATTTTAGAAAAGCTGTCAAAGCCTCACTGAGATTCTTAATTATGAAAAAGGATCTAGATAAGGGTGATGATAAGGATCTAAGTTCAATTTATGGAAAAGAGGGGGAGAGATTTAACGAATATTAAAGAGGTAGGATTAAGGATTGTTTGGACATGAAGTAAAGTTAGGGACGAATCAGGAAGAGGATAGGATATAATTTTTCACTAAGTTTAATGGTTCATATCACTTGGATGCAGGCAGGAAGGCAATGTAGGAAGAGGAGCAATTTCTTTTTCTCTTTTCTTTCTTATTTTTTTTTTTTTTTTTTTTTGGTATTGGATATTGAACCCAGGGTGCTCCATCACTGAGCTACATTTGAGACAAGGTCTCACTAAATTGCTTAGGGCCTCGCTGAGTTGTTTGTGGCTAGCCTTGAACTTGAGATCCTCCTGCCTCATCTTCCTGAGTCACTAATGAACAATTTTTTAGGAAGACAATGAGTTGGTTCAGTGTTAAGAGTTTGAGATTCCTTCTGGGAGATAATGTCCTATAGTCATTTGAGTGTCTGGAATTCAGAAAATTGGGTTGGAGGTAATAGATTTAGACATAATCAATGTGTTAATGGGATATGAGAAGAGAACCAAGGGCAGTACCCTGAGAAAGGCCAACTCTAAAGGGTACTGTTCCTGTTTTTTTTCTTTAAAAAAAATTATAGGTCACAGAAAGTTACAAAGTTAATTTTCTCTTATAAACTGATAAATTTATTTGAGATTTCATAATATGGTAGACAATATCTTATAGTTATTATGGGTCTCTAGAGAGTTCACATTTTTAAAGCTTCACATCGGGGATTGGGACATCATTCAGTCATTAGATTACAAGGTACTTAGATCTCTTAGTCTTTGACACAGTGTTTGTGTGTTCAGCAGTTATTTACCTTAGTTTTTCTAATGCTAGCATGTTTTGCTTATTTTAGTAGGTCATTGAGTAAATTTTAATTTCCCTGGGAACTTTTTAGTCTACTTGATAATCAAAATGAATTTGTTTTTTTAATATTTTTTTAATTTATGTTCCATGAAAAGACTGAACTATGGGGAATGAAATTTAACTTAGTTCTAAGGCCCAGTATACTACTTTATTAGGTAATGGAATTTTTATAGTTCTCTTCCTTTGAAAACTCTTTAATAAGATCTTCTAAAGTATTTTTGGTTAGAGAGAAAGCTAAACTTACAGTTAACACATTTAGCAATAAACTTTATGCATTTCTACTGAAAATGTATATGTCCCATAGATGATGATGAGGTGAAAGACAAATATTGCATGATCTTAATATATGAGTCAGAAAAAGTTGAACTAAAAGAAGCAGGAATTAGAGTGGTGTTTTCTAGGGGACAAGGAGGGGAGAAATGTTTTGAACAACAAGTATAAAATTTTAACTAGACAAAAGATTTAAATTAGATTTATTACATAGTGTGATGACTATAGTTAATAATGTACACTCTAAAATTGGGGGAAAAAGAACTAAACTGAGGATATATGACATCATAGGGGGAATATGTATATATTTTATGGCGTTGTAATTATTTGGGGGATGAGGGTAACCTAGGATGGAATTCAGGAGGACTTGACCCCTGAGCTGCATCCCCAGACCAATTTTGTATTTTATTTAGAGACAGGGTCTCACTGAGTTGCTTAGGGCCTCACCATTCTACTGCCTCAGTCACCAAAGCTTCTGGGATTATAGGTGTTCGCCATTATAGGCGAGCATCACCATGGCATTGTAATTTTCTGTAAGCTGTATTATTATTTGCATTATTTCCTAAGTGAGCAGGTGTTAGTTAATTTGGTTTTCTTTCTGCCGTTATTAGAGTATAGAGATTATTATGGTTAAGAGATTGATTTGTAATCCTTTTTATTTCCTTCAGAAGTGTTTATAGTATGCTACACCAATGAATCTCCCTAAGATATCAGTAAGCATACTGGAATTTTAGATTAGACTCCTTTTTCATCTTTCATCTTTGTTTTCTTAGATTATTAAAAATAATTAACAAAAAGCCAAGGCATGTATATTTTTTTACTGCCATTAGGAAGTTGAGTAGTATTTTTTGATCCTTTCTATTTGTAAACAGCTTTTAATAGTGCATATAATGAGAGCCATCCTCAAAAACGCTTGATTTATTCTTTACAAATTGATTTCAGATATGATAGGTAAATTTTTGGTGGGAGGGAGGGACCTTAGAGTGTCTTATCATAAGTTGTATTTATACTTCTCATAGGGATTAGGAGCAGACAGCAAGAACCTGTACCCTTTCCTGCTCCCAGTTATCCAACTGAGTACAGATGTTTCCCAGCCTCCACATGTCTATCTTCTGGAAGATGGTTTAGAATTATGGTAAGAGGAAAAACTTGATACCATTATTTTTTCCCTGGCCTTCCCTACTCTCATGCCAATAAAGTAAAGGTTATGTGTAAAAACACTGAAGCATTTAAAAAAATAAGGACATGAAATTGATTTCCTCAAATGGATAACATAACAGCTCCTTTTTTGGGACAGATGCTATTCAGTATAGGCTTACAACAGACGAATCATCTACATTTCTTCTTTTGGAATTTGGCATGTAAAATGAGAATTGTGGTAACTTTCCCAAATTAAAATTGTCTTAAAATTTACAATCTATGAAATGTGATGGGGGGATATTGAGTTATTTCTCAACCTCAGTCTTACCTTACTAAGTAAGTGCCGAAATATTATACCTCAGCCCCAAATACTTATACTACATGTGTAGCATTAAAAGAATGAAGAAAAAACAAAAATCCCTATTTCCGTGGCAGTTTAGTGCTATAAACATTTATTAGTTATGTACTGTGTATGTAAGCAGCTATTCTAGAAAATCCTTTTGCTTTATTAAACTCAACTTAGTGACGGAAAAAGTTTCAGAGACAGTCTTTTAATGAATGATACGTGAAAGATTTAGAAATTCCGGTGTGTAAATTGACTACTGGAGTTGGTAGTCCTACTACTACTCCCTTTCCTCCTTTCTTTGTTAGTTTTGCTTAGTTGTCTAAGAATTAACAGTTTTGATCCTTAGAAATTGTTATAGGTACAAATTATAAATTACTGATCTTATATTAGAATAGTGAATGAATGATTTAAAAACTTAACTAGATAAATGCTTACTAATTTGTGATTTGAGTTCCTGATATTCTTTCCCAGTTTATGTTATTTGAACTGAAATGACAGGTAGATAGTTTGATTGTTAATTAGCATGTTGTTGAAATCTTTTATATTCATATTTTTATGTTTGTATAGGGTGGACCACTCTAGACCAGAGGTTGGTAAACATTTTTGGTAAAGGGCCAGATAGTAAATGTTTTAGGGTTTCCAGATCATATAGTCTCTGCTGATCAAAGCCATCATAGACATTACATAAAAAAATGGATATGGCTGTGCTCCAACTAAAGATCATTCCCGGAAATAGAATATGGATTGGTTTTAGCCCATGACCTGTAGATTGCCAACCCTTGTTCTAGATTATAAATTAAAACATTAATTCTGGCACAAAATTGCTTTTCATTACATATAGATACTATATGATGTTGAATGTTAGAAAATGTTAAAATTATGAAGAGCTAGATTCAGACTTGTCAGTATTAGACTTAGTGCATTTATTAAAAGCATATAAGTTTTCAAAGAATTATGTAAACAAAGTATAATAACAATGCATTGCTCTACTAATGGCAATTTCATTTTTCCTATCCTTATGCAATTCATCATGCATAATGAATGAATATAAATTTTTAAAAAACCTTATTAAATTCATTACTAGTTAAGGTTCTCTAGATTAAAGAATCAGTGTACAAATTTAAATTTCTTTATATGTTTCTCTAGAGCTCATATTTGGAACCAGACAGATTCAGTTTGTAATGCTTTATTCAGTTTATCATTTGAATAAATTATCTGTGAATTTAGGAAAAATAATTGGTACTTTACATGGTTGTTGTGATAATGAGATGTTTGCTAAAGTAGCTAGCTCTTTGTATATGGCATTTAAAGCCATATAAGATTGAATGGGAAGAGAAGTTTAGATAGAGAATATTCTGCTCAGGGCAGGATCCTGATGAACTTACAAGATTTTGTGGATAGAAGAGGAGTCATCTACTAAGACAGAGAAAGGAGGAGCCATCTAGAAAGACAGAGAAAGGCTATCTATTGATATAGTAGGAAACCAAAGCTAAGAGAGAATATCTATAATGAGGGAGTGGGCAGCTATGGCAAATGTTTCTGATTGTCCTAATAAGGTAATACAGAGAAGTGTCCTCCTGGAGATGCCAGAAGAGTTTTCAGTGGAGTGATTGGAACAGGAATTAGAATGAGTAGGTTGAACAAGGAATTTGAAGTAAGTACTGAACACTGACAACTTGTTTGAGAATTTTTATTATAAAGAAGAGTCTAGAATGTAAGCCTGGAAATGTAAGATCTAGAAGAATGGGTGGGGCTTGACTGAGAGAGTGGGGTAATTGAAGGAGAAGGAAAGGGACAGAAGTCAGAACTCAATGGAGGATTTGAATTTTGATAGCAGTTGCAATACTTCATGTTGACTGGAGGCAGGAAGGTAGATTTCCAAATTTTATAGTTAGGTAATATAGGAATTTGTTCCATATAACAGACTTGTGTTTTTCAATCAAATATGAAACATGTTCATCAGCTGAGAGTTTGGGCTGATATAGGAGTATACACAGATATGAGAGAGATGTCGGGGAGGAAAGTTATAAAGTAGTTAAAAAATGAGAATTGGAATTTATTATGGATAACCAATACCAACTGATATTTATGGTCATGAATGTAAAGTGAAACTCGCAGACCAATTATGTGATTTTTTTCATTGCTTCTTATTTTCCCCTAGAACCATTTCTCTAGAGATTTGTCAGAGAACCAGCTTTTTGCTTTTACTCTGTTGTTTTATCTCCTCTTTCATTCTGCTCTTATKTTTATTATCTCCTCTTCCTACTTGCTGTAGTTTTTTCCTGTGTCATATAACTTATATCCTAAGAATCAACTCATGAATTTTTAGTCTTATTTTTTCATTTTTCTAACAATATAAATTTGTAGCAATACTATAAATTATTTTAAGCAGAATTTATAAAAGTATTTTACTTGAAAAGGTGTGTGTGTGTTTGTGTATGTTTGTGTGTGTGAGCGTTTGTGTGGCAATAAATGCTATATAAGCAATATTAGCTATATACCATTAAATGCAGTATGATTCTCATCATTTAAAAACAAAAAGAACAAAACAATTTGATTGTTTTTTGCCATGTATTTAAGAGATTATATTTTTCTCTTAAAAGATAAAAATTCTTACAAAAGCCTTGGCTTCTTGAGAAAAACTTTATTTATTTGGATAAATTGTAAAGTACTATTAAAAAAGTTTTTTTGTTAGTATTTTGTCTAATTTTCTTTTTTCTTGTATTTATAAATGAGCTGGTTCTATGATCTATACATTAGGACATTGTTTTGTTTTATATTAGGGTTATTTTACTAGTCTAACAATTTTGAAAATTATTTTCTTTACACTGTAATGCTTTTTGTAATGTGCTGTTTATTCTTTGGACAATTTAAGAATTTACTAATAAACTTGAAATGGACCCAGGGTGGAGACCAGGGATTCATTTACAGCTTTTTCCCCCCTTCATACTAGGGATTGAACTCAGGGCCACTCAACCACTGAGCCACATCTCCAGCTCTATTTTGTATTTTATTTAAAGACAGGTCTCACTGAGTTGCTTAGTGCCTCACTCTTGCTGAGGCAGGCTTTAAACTCGAGATCCTCCTGCCTCAGCCTCCTGAGCTGCTGGGATTACAAGTGTGTGCCACAGTGCCCAGCTCATTTACAGCTTTGATGTCATCCTCTGTTATAAGTTTAAATATTTATTTTATTTTATTTATTTATTTGACCTTTAATTTTAGTTGTTTTTTTTAATTGATTTTTGATTTTTTTATGTATCTTAGTTTGGTCACTTAGTCTTTAAAATACTAATAGAAAATTTTTATATATTTGCTTTATATTTCCCATTCATAGTTTTATTTTTGTTTTATCTCTTAAGTACATTTATTGAAATTGATCAAATTATTTTGTATGCATGTATGGATATGTTGCATGAATCCCACTATTATATACAGTTATGATGCTCTAATACAAACATTTAAAAATGATGTATATTTATTAAAGTACATTTTTCAGAGCTCCTTATGATTGAACTCTTAGATTTATAAATTGTTTCTGTCCTTTGAAATATTTTTGCTTCATATTTTTTATTTCCTATATTTAATTGTGGATTTATAGGATTTCTTAATGTATAAGACAAAAGATTCATTTTTTCATTTTTCTTATTAAATAATAAAATATTTAAAGCTGTGAAATTAGTATTGGAAATAGGTATATATTCCCCACATATATTGGATAGTCTTTTTAAAAAAAWTTTTGCTGCTATCATTTCCGATTGTTTAGTGACATTTTTGACCAAACATTGAATATTTTGCTGTTATTAAAGTATGTGATTCAGATATGAATTTGTTACATTACCTCTATAACAGGTGACTTATATGGTGTTTTTGTTTTGTGGTTCTGTATGTCCAACCCAGGGCCTTTTGCATGTTAGGCCAGTGTTCTACCATTATATTTTCCATTGTACATTGTGTGTGTGTGTGTGTGTGTGTGTGTGTGTGTGTGTTTAACTTAAATGAATGTTAAGGACTAAACATCTATTTTTGTAATATGTCATTGCAGTGATGAGAGTGCCACTGATCCAGAGTTTTACGTGCATTTATTTTTTTTTAACTTGTTATGTAGCTCATGTCATTATTTTGCTTTTTCTTCTTAATATTGATTTTATTAAAAATACTCCAGTTGTCTTAGTGTTCATGGCTCAAACTTTTTGTTCTATATGTTTTAAAAAGATGTTGCTTACTACAAAATTTTGTTATTTTTAGTAACTTTATGCATTGTTAAAAACATTGAATTTAAAATTTGAAATATTTTCATGAAAAATATATGTATGTGCAGTGATATTAGTCAAAATAGTCATTGTCTTTTTTAATGGTAAAGAGTAGTGCTTTGAATTTTTTTTTTTTTTTTTTTTGGTCTCATTTCTTCTCCTGTCTCATCTTTATTAGTTGATTCTGAAGTCAAACACCTTGTCATTTTCAGGAGTTTAAATTCAGACCCCCACCCCCCCACCCCCCACCCTGCTTTTGAATAGCATGGTTTCTTCCATGAAAGCTAGCAAAGAGTAAYATAGAGTAACAGCTTGAAAGGGAAAGTACAAGCCTCAGATAGTTTGGACCCGTTGACAAGGAAAGTCTGTTCATTGTGCTGTTTTTTTTTTTAGTAAATTAATTTCTGTTCGTTTTATATATTTTATGTATACTAAGTTGTACTAACAAGTTAAGCAAGTATTTGTCTCAGATTTCTCAGCCCCATTTATACCTTTTTCTTTTCTTGAAATTTTTTGTCTGATTGTAGGCATCCTCCTTAGGCAATTAGGCAAGCCTAATTTCCAGAAAAAAACTCTATAGGGATTTGAACTGAAATGATGTTAAACTGTTTAATTGTTTAACAGTGAGAATTGACATCTTTGTGATGGTGGATTTTTGTATCTGTGAGACATAACATCATCCAGTTATTTCTTAACTATTGATTTTTGGCATATAGAGAGTCCGTTGATGTTCATATATTGATATTCTCTCTTATTCTTGTATCTTTTACTAACTTGCTTGGCATATTAGAGGCCCTTCATACGTAAACTGAATAATTATGGAGGTAGACAAGGTATTACAGTGCTTAGAGGCTTATTTCTGCTTTTCAAGAGGACAGTTTCAACATGTCATCATTGATAAGTATATTTACTATGAGTATTTGGTACTTTCTTATGGAATTTCTATTTATAATCAGGTAAGAATTTTATAGCAATTATTATATTTAATAGGTTTTTTTTCTTTTTTGCTGCTATTATGATAATCATGGTTTTCTCCTTTAAGTTCTCTGGGGCTTAGGGGAGATAGATAAACCAGTCACACACTTCTGTGATAAATCATAATTTATATAATTTTCTATACATTGATTGTTGTGGTTTGCTAAGGGTGTTAGATTGGCTTGTAATTGCACTTTGTTGTTTTAAGTTCATATTTAGAAAGTATTTAGCCTGTCATTTTACTAATATTAGTCCATTTTCTTGTTGAAGGGGCATATAAATTACATGTCGCACAAGAGCATTTCAAGAAAAACAAGATAATTTTCTCCCTTTTCACCATATTAATCATGCTTTTGCTTTAAAATTATAATTTTATTATTATCCATACTTTAGTAAATACTTTCCTTACTATTATTGTTATATATGAAGAAATAATACTACATAATCTATGCATAGGTATTTATTTTGAGGTATTTGCCAATTTTTGTAGATAGTTTTTATAACTGTATGTTTTATCTACTTTTTTGTCCTTTAGAGGAAACTTTTTATATTCATATTATTGTATTAGTAGTATTAATGGGCATGAAAATGATTTATTCATCTGTGGTTTTCTTCCTAGGTTAGTAACATTGGAGAACAGCCCATGTATTACACCAGAGTTGCTTCGTGTATTTCAGAATATGTCACCACTTCTTGGTAAGTGTTAAAGCATAAACTAATTAATATTTTTTAATTCAGCCATAATTTGGGGATATTGTAGCTAATTTTAAATCATACCTTCCATTATTCTTAAAAAGAGTCCCTGATATTAAGAAATAAGTTGAATTGTGTTTTTAAGTTTCTACGTTATTCTATATATCTTTTAAGAATAATAGGCATGGTGGTATGTACCTATAATCTCATCTAGTTTGGAGACTGAGGCAAGAAGATCACAAATTCAAAACCAGCCAGGGCAGCGTAGCAAGATCCTCTCTCAAGAACAAGAACAACAACAACATACAAAAAAAGGCTGGGGATTAAATAAATATAAAATTAAAATAGTATGTAGTAAAACTACTTTTGTTATACTAAGATTTTATCCAGCTTCTTTTTTTTTAAACAGATAAAACATTTTTTATACACCTTTATTTTATTTATTTATTTTTATGTGGTGCCAAGGATTGAACCCAGGTTCTACCACTGAGCCACAACCCCAGTCCCCTCTTTTTTTTTTTTTTTAAGTGTTGTTGGAATTTTGTTTTATTTATTTACTTATTTGTGGTGCTAAGAATTAAACCCAGTGCCTCACATGCCAGGCAAGTGTGCTACCACTGGAGCCACAGCCACAGCCCAGTATAGCCATTTTGACAGTATCAATTTTGCCTATCAAAGAACATGGGAGGTCTTTCCATCTTCTAAGGTCTTTTTCCATTTCTTTCTTTAGTGTTCTATAGTTTTCATTATAGAGGCCTTTCACCTCTTTTGTTAGATTGATTCCCAAGGTTTTTTTTTATTCTTTTTGAAACTGTTGTGAATGGGATAGTTTTCCTAAATTCTTTTTCAGGAGAATCATCTTTGGAGTATAGGAATGCAGTTGATTTATGGGTGTTAATTTTGAATCCTGCTACTGTGCTGAACTCATTTATGAGTTCTACAAATCTTTTCTTAAGAGTTTTTGGGGTCTTAATATAGGATCATATCATCAGCAAACTGATTATTTGAGCTCTTCTTTTCCTATTTGTATCCCTTTAATTTCTTTCTCTTACCAGATTGCTCTTGCTTGGTTTTCAAGGACTGTGTTGAATGGCAGTAGTGAAAGTAAACATCCTTGTCTTGTTCCTATTTTTAGAGGAAATGCCTTCAGTTTTTCTTTTTTCAGAATAATGTTGACCTTGGGTTTATTGTATATAGTCTTTACAATGTTGAGGTAAGTTTCTTCTATCCCTAGTTTTTCTAGTGTTTTAAATATGAATGGGTTTTATACTTTGTCAAATGTTTTTTCTGCATCTATTGTGATAATCATGGGATTCTTATTTTTAAGTCTATTTATATGGTGAATTGCATTTATTGGTTTCCGTATCTTGAACCAACTTTGCATCTCTGGGATAAAACTCTCTTGATCATGTTGCATTGTCTTTTTAATGTGTTTTTGTATGCAGTTTGCCAATATTAACAATTTTTGCATCTATGTTCATAAAGGATATTGGTCTGAAGTTTTCTTTCCTTGATATGTCTTTTGTCTATTTTTGGCATTAATGATTCTCACTTTGTAGAATGAATTTGGCAGAATTTCTTCCTTTTATATTTTGTGGAATAATTTGAGGAGAATTGGTATTAGTTCTTTTTGAAAGGTCTGTTAGAACTTGATGACTTGGACTTTTGTTTGTTGGAAGGCTTTTGATTACAGGTTCAATTTCGTTACTTAAGATTGATCTGTTTAAGTTTTCTATATCCTCCTGGTTCAGTTTGGGTAGGTCATATGTTTCTAGGAATGTGTCTATACTGTCGAGTTATTCTAAACAGGTTATTGGAATATGAATTTTCAAAATAGTTTCTGATGATCCTCTGGATTTCAGTATTATAGGTGGTGATATGTCCTTTCTCATCTCAGTCTTTGAAAATTTCAGTTTTTACCTCCCTTTTTTGGTTAGTTTGCTAAGGGTTTAACAATGTTTATCCTTTCAAAAAACCAATTCTTTGTTTTGTTTATCTTTTGTAATTTTTTTAAATCTCAATTTCACTGATTTTGGCTCTGATTTTAATTATTTCCTGTCTTCTACTAATTTTGTCGTTGGTACACCCCCACCCCAGGGCTTTGAAATGTAATGTTATTTATTTGGTGTCTTTCTGTTCTTTGAATGTCTGAGCTCAATGCTATGAACTTTCCTCCTAGAAAGGCCTTCATATTGTCTCAGAGATTTAGATATATTGTATCACTATTCTCATTTACCTCTAAGTATTTTTTTTCCCTTGATTTCTTTTGCTAGCCATTCTTCATTTAAAAATGTATTATTTAATCTCCAGGAATTAAGAGTGTTTTCTATTTTTTATCTTATTGTTGTTTTTCTAATTTCATTCCATTATGATCTGATACAATGCAAGGTATTCTCCATTTTATGTATTTGCTAAGATTTTCTTTATGACCTAAAATACGGTCCATTTTAGAAAATGTCCCATGTTTTGTTGAGAGGAAAGTGCATTCAGTTATTGATGGATGAAATATTCTGTAGATATCTTAAGGCAATATCTTTGGCTATTTTTTTGTGGGGGGAGGTACCAGGGATTAAACTCAGGGGCACTCAACCACTGAACCACATCCCCAGCCCTATTTTGTATTTTATTTAGAAACAGAGTCTCACTGAGTTGCTTAACACTTCGCTTTTGCTGAGGCTGGTTTTGAACTCTTGATCCTGCTGCCTCAGCCTCCAGAGCTTCTGGGATTGTAGGCATGTGCCACTGCACCCCGCTCCTTAGCTATTTTTTGTTTGGGTGATATATGCAGTGATGAGAGAGGCATTTTAAACTCATCCAGTATCACTGTATTGTGATCTATTTGATTCTTAATATTGAATAGTGTTTGTTTGATATACATAGATGCTCCAGTGTTTGGGACATAAATATTTATGACCATTGTATCTTGTTGATGTGTAATTCCCTTAAGCAATATGAAATGACCTTTTTGTCTCTTCTAATTAATTTGGCTTGAAGTCCACTTTATCTGATACGAGAATAATAAATCCTGCTTATTTTCGAAATCTATGGGTGATGTGAATGCTATGTTTTTTCCATCCTTTTACCTTCAGTCTGTGGATGTCTTTGCCTGTGAGGTGAATATCTTACAGATAGCATACTTTTGGGTCTTGTTTTTCAAACAAATCTGCCACCTGTGTCTTTTGATTGAAGAGTTTAGATCATTTACATTCGGTATTATTGAGAGATTTTCCTGCCATTTTGATTTATTTCTAATGTTTAAATTGGGTTTGCTTCTCCTTTGATTTACTGTTGTTCTAGAGCAATTTGTCTCTATGCTTGATTCCATTTTTAGCTTTCACTTCTTAAAATATTTAGTATGTTTTGTAGTATAGGCTTTCTAGTTGTGAATTTTTTAGCTTTTGTTTATTGTAAAAAATGTTTATTTTATCTTTAGTTCTAACACTTAATTTTGCTAGGTATAGTAATCTTGGTTGACAAGTATTTTCTTTCAGAGCTTGAGATAGATAAATAGATATAATTATTTTAAGCATCTGCATTGAGAAATCTGTTGAAATTCAAATTGGCTTACCTTTAGATGTCACCATACATTTTTCTCTTGCAGCTTTTAAAATTCTATCCTTTTTACATTAAAAAAAATTTATAATAATGTGTCTTGGAATGGATCTGTTGTGATTTTGTGTATTTGGTATCCTATATGTCTTCTGTATTTGACTTTCCATTTTATTCCTAAGGTTTGGAAAATTTTCTGATACTATTTCATTGAAAAGATTGTGCATTCTTTTAGTTTGTGTTTCAGAGCTTTCATCTAGCCCCATGAATCTTAAATTTGGTCTTTTAATGTCATCCCACATTTCTTGAATATTCTGTTCATTGTCTCATGACATCTTTTTTCTTTGGTTGACTTCATTTTCAAGATTATATACTTTGTTTTCAGTCTGTCTTCAAAGTAGTCTAATCTATTGGTTATGCTTTTCATTGAAATTTGGATTTGGTTTATTGATTTCTTTATTTTGAGGATTTCTGCTTGGTTCTTTTTTGGAATATCTCTTTTTTTTTAAGTGATCTTTCACTTCCTATATTTTCTTTGTGATTTCACTCCTTACATTGTCTTTTAGCTCATGGAACAGCTTACCTATAAGCTTTTTTTTTTTTAATTATTTTTTAGTTGTAGTTGGACACAATACCATTATTTTAATGTGGTGCTGAGGATTGAACCCAGGGCCTCCCATGTGCTAGGCGAGCACTCTACCAATGAGCCACAAGCCCAGCCCCAACTGTAAGCTTTTTATTTATTTTTTCATTTTTTTATTTTTATTTTTTTATTATTTGTTCAAAACATTACAAAGCTCTTGACATATCATATTTCATACATTTGATTCAAGTGGGTTATGAACTCCCATTTTTACCCCGTACACAGATTGCAGAATCACATGGGTTACACATCCACGTTTTTACATACTGCCATACTAGTGACTGTAGTATTCTGCTATCTTTCCCATCCTCTACTATCCCCCCTCCCCTCCACTCCCCTCCCATCTTCTATCTCTACCCCTTCTGCTGTAATTCATTTCTCTCCCTTGATATTTTTTCCCCTTTCCCCTCACATCCTCTTATATGTAATTTTGTATAACAATGAGGGTCACCTTCCATTTCCATGCAATTTCCCTTCTCTATCCCTTTCCCTCCCACCTCTCGTCCCTGTTTAATGTTAATCTTTTTCTCATGCTCTTCCTCCCTGCTCTGTTYTTAGTTGCTCTCMTTATATCAAAGAWGACATTTGGYATTTGTTTTTTAGGGATTGGCTAGCTTCACTTAGCATAATCTGCTCTAGTGCCATCCATTTCCCTGCAAATTCCATGATTTTGTCATTTTTTAGTGCTGAGTAATACTCCATTGTGTAGAAATGCCACATTTTTTTAACTGTAAGCTTTTTAAATTCCTTCTTTGACATTTCCTCCATAGTCAAAAAGTCAGTTGTTGAAGCATTATGGGTTGTTTGAGATGGTTTGTTCCCTTGCTTTTTCATATTGTATGTATGTTTACCCATCTGCTGGTATAGGTCTGGCTTCTTTTAAACGAAGGACTACTTTGTGAGTTTTTTTTTTTTTTTTTAAGATCCCAGGGTTGGGTGAATATCCTGATGATGATGTATTAATTTAATGTTTGACCTCTACTGATCCCAATATCAGCACTACTTTAATAAGAGATGGCCCTGAGCCCTATTTACTATGATCATTTTCAGCCAAGCCTCATTCTGTTCAACTTTATACGAACAAAAATTTGTTGCAGTTGTTCTCAAGTTTCTCAAATTCAGGTATAAACCTAAATTGAAGTTCTGGAACAGACCAAAAATTAGTTGTTGGGCTGAGGCTGTAGCTCATTGGTCAAGCAGCTGCCTCGCACATGTGAGGCACTGTTTTCAGTCTTCAGCACCACATAAAAATAAATAAAATAAAGATATTTGTCCATAGACAATTAAAAAAATACTTAAAAAATTAATTGTTGAATTTGGTAAACTTGCCTTAAGTGGGGGCTAAAAGGAGGGAGGAAGAAAGATTGGGCAAATTGGAGAGGGAAAAAAGAGGGTGGTGAAAGAGAGAAAGGGAAAGTAATAAGAAGGTAATTTTCACCWAGATAAATTTTAGCTATTTCTTTTCAAATGCAAAGTAATAACTTTATTAAAATTGAATGTGACCAAATGATGGTGCATTGCAATTTTTTATCTTCCTACATACAATAAGGATACCATAGAATATAGATTATTTATAATTATATAGATCAAAACATGACTCCACACTATCATCTATATCTGAAACTTGCCATACAAAACAACTATATTCACTTCATGTACAATTGGATCGATTAAAAAAAWTTTTTTTCATTCTGGAAATTCCATGTTTAAGAACATTTTTTATATGTAGATTTTTTTATGGGGAGCAAATTTGAAGAACAAAGCCCAAGAATTGTATACCTGAACAAAATGTAATACGTTGGGATTATAGTAGGGAACTTTTTTGATAAGTAAAATAGAATATTCAGTGACAGTGCAGTATACTGAGTAAATGCTCATTGAGTTCATTTAAGCATATGTCAAAATATAATGATAAAATGATTCAGTCACATGTTGTTTGCCATTTTAACACTAAAAATTTAGATTGAAATGAAAGATTGGGTCAAATTATTTTCTGATTGTTTTTATCACTTTACTTAAACTGATTTGAACAATGAATTAATTTGTTCTTTATTTTGAAAATTATTGTTTTGGCAGAACTAAGTTCAGAAAATCTCAGAACCTGTTTTAAGATCATCAATGGCTATATCTTTTTATCATCAACAGAATTTTTACAGGTATGTTGGAGTAGTGTTTGTAAGAAATTAAGTAGTTATTATGTTTATTATTGTTATTATTGTTTATTATTGTCATTTCAAAATTTAAGATTATTTTGTTAATTTAATGGGGAAAAATTCACTGTGAGCATTCCCCACTGTAAGGAAGATATGATATGTGCCATTCCATTGTTATATAATGCAGGAACTGTGCTATTTAAATAAATATATCCTCATTTCTATAAAATTCAGTGTATCAGTAAACTATTTTTGTGAGGCATAATCTTTTTTTCCTTAATCCTAAGACTTGTAGTTGAAAAATTTCATATGCTTAGACCTTTAGCATATACTTCTCAAATAGATAATAATGAGTCTCAAAAGTGAATTTATGCCTTTTTGATATTACAAATATATTCTTATATTGTCTTTGGATTGAATTTCAGACATATGCAGTGGGTCTTTGTCAGTCCTTTTGTGAGCTGTTAAAGGAAATTACTACAGAAGGTCAAGTTCAAGTGCTCAAGGTATTGTCATCTTTTGTCACCATCAGATGATTTAAAAAATTACCTGTTAAGTTTAATATCTCTGAATGTTTTGTGAAGTTGGACCTTCATTTGGTTGTGGTTGTTGGCAAGAAGGGTTGACGTAATTCTGAATGTGGTATGTTGTTTTAGCAATATTCATTTGGTTTAATCTCAAATTTGTACAGAAAGATCACTGGAAATCTTGTTAAAATGTAATTCTAGATCTTCGACAATCTCAGCTAATTGGGATGTTGCCTGTTCTGAGAATTCATTTTGTGTAGCAAGGTTTTAAAAACCAACTTTGTCTGAAGACTATCTTCAGTTTGTTAGCCTACTTTGGGTCAGATTTTTCACTGTATAATTTGGTAGTTTTAATTTCATTTAGGTGTTGAAGTTAGAGTATTAAGTTTGTTGAGGTTGTGTATAATTAATAACCAAAAGCCTCAAAGTCATATATTATCTTTATGTAGTATATCTATGTTAAAGATAAAGTCTTAAATATATATTATTTATTTACATGTAAACAAATACATGCATAAATCTGTATTAAACTTACCTTTACTTTACATGTGCATATTATACATACATATTTTATGTATAGACTTTGAGAGAAGGAGTAGCTATTGAATTTCTAATTTCTTAGTTTGTTCTAAGTCAGATATGAGTTGACTTCTGGCCTTTTGGATGGTTCATGCCTGTAATATTAGCGACCCGGAAATCTGATGACACAGGAGGATCACAAGTTTGAGGTCATCCTCAGTCATTTATTCTGTAGGTTAAGAATCAGCAAAAGAACCAGATAGTAAAAATTTTAGGTTTTATGGATCATACAATTTTTGTCTCAACTAATTCAAGCTTGCTATGGTAGTATTCATGTAATCATAGATGATATGTAAATGAATGACTATGGCTATGTCTAGTAATAACCTTGTTTACAAAATCATGCAGTGGAGTTTGGTCCATGGGCCTAAATTTGCCAACTTCTGGTATTTGGTTGTTAATACTCTTTTCTGCTAGGCCTAGGTGATAAGAAAATGTCAGTTCCTACTCTTAAGTAATTCAGTTTTGGGGGGAAGAGGAGACAGGTAAACAACTGCTCAGTATTCAGTGTTATATAAAATTAGTGAGTTTGAATCAGAAACATCTCAAAATCACCTGATGGACTTCTTGAAAATTTAGGTAGAACACAGGACATAATAGGGTTTTTTTTGTTGTTGTTTTCAAAAAGTTTCTCACGTGATTTTTGTAAGTACTGTTTATATCACTCTAAGAATATAGAAGTGGTCACTTAACTCAGCATTTTGCAGAGAACTGTTTTTTAGGAAGAAGAATTTAAAATGTGAGCTGAGGGCTGGGGATGTGGCTCAAGCGGTAGCGCGCTCGCCTGGCATGCGTGCGGCCCGGGTTCAATCCTCAGCACCACATACCAACAAAGATGTTGTGTCCGCCGAGAACTAAATAAATAAATAAA